CCCCCCCCCCCCCCCCCCCCCGCAGTGTTCGAATACAAAGAATGCGTGTTTGAACACTGGATTTTGTTTATACCTTCGAGGATTCCACTAATGAATTGCTAGATAATCTTCAGTTTGGTAACAAATTTCACTTCCCCTTAGGAATTTATGCTATCGAGCCAAAGACTATCTTACAAACTCCTAGTGGCTTGTACTTGTGAATGGTTGGGTAGTCTTTGTTCGATAGCAAACTTAACTTCCCTGTAGGAACTTTGCTACCGAGCAAATATCTAACCGCTTCGGAGTGGTTCTTCGTTTGTGTGCCTTGACATTAAAGGGTCTTATTACTGATGTTGAAATTTCATTTGTAGTATGCTTTCCGTTACTGCCTCATTAAAAACCTTGCTAGAAAAATCCAATTGGGACAAAAACTGAACGAAGGAAAAAAGAGTGCATCACATACTTTTAGTACAAGTAATGTCCATCAGCAGTAGTATCTCTTGAGATGTGCCACATTCCAGTTGCTTGGCAACTTTCTCCAACTCGCATGATCCTTTCCTAGTGACAACTGAAACCCGGTAGGGTCCTTCCCATGTCGGACCTAGCTTCCATGTATTGAGTTACCAAGTGTTTTGATTTACCTTCCTTAAAACCAAGTCTCACACTTTGAAATAACAGAGGTTGGCTCTTCGATTGTAATATCTTTCCATTCTCTACTTTTGAGCTATCATCCTCATATGCGCTAAGTCCCTGCATTCATCAAGCAGCTCCAAATTGACCAACATTGCGTCGTTATTTGCTTCTTCATTCGCTTAGAAGTATCTCAAGGTAGGCTCCCAACTTCCATCGGGATCAGGACTTCTGCTCCGTACACAAGGGAAAAAGGAGTCTCTCTCGTGCTTGATTTGGCAGTTTTTTGGTATGCCCATAATACTCCGGGAAACTCTTTGGGCCATTTGCCTTTAGTTGCTTCCAATCTAATTTTGAGATTTTGTATAATCACTTTGTTTGTTGATTTCGCTTGACCATTTGTGCTTGGAAGATAGGGCGAAGATATGATCCTTTTGATTATCAAGTCTTCAAGGAACTTCGTGACCTTTGCGCTTATAAATTGTAGCTCGTTGTCACAGGCTATCTCTTTTGGTATCCCAAATCTGCAAACTATGTTCTCCCACAAGAAATCCATCCCTTCACGTTTACCGATCTTCTGATAAGACCTGTTTCAAACCACTTAAAAAATAGTCATTTAAAATCAAAAGAAACCTTAACTTACTAGGTGGGTCGGCAGTGGTCCGATGATATCCATTCCTCGCTTCATGAACGGCCATGGAGAAAAAACCGAGTGCAATGGTTCTGCTGGTTGATGTACCAATGGTGCGTAGCGTTGACACTTATCTCATTTTTAAACGAAAGCTTTAGCGTTTCTCTCCATTCAGGGCCAATAGTATCCTGCCCTTACAAATTTTAGTACTAAGGAATTTGTGCCCGAATGATTTCCACAGATCCTTTCGTGGACTTCTCGCATAACGTAATTAGCTTTGGACGCTCCAAACATCGGGCAAGAAGACCTTGGAAAGATTTCCTGTACAATTGTCCTCCTTTGAAACTATACCACACTACTTTAGCGCACAGCGCCCGGAACGTCTTGGGATCTGCAAGCAACTTTTCGTGCTTGAGGTAATCAGTGATCTCATTCCTCCAGTTCCAAACCAAATTAGTCGCATTTACCTCGTAGTAGATATCTGTGTCCACAACTGAGTGCATAAGCTGTACGATCGTACCAAAGTCCGATCCCTTCATTTTCGTTCAGGAGCCACAGTTAGTTAATGCGTCCACTTCTATATTTTCTTCTCTCAGGATATGTGTGATTGACCACTCCCAGAACCGAGCAAGCAGAGCTTGAACCTTCACTATGTATTGTTGCATGCGTTCCTCTTTGGCTTCGAAGATCCCATAAACCTGATTTCTATGACCTCTGAATCTAGTCCTCGTGCCAGTTCGAGCCCAGCAATCAAAGCTTCGTACTCTACTTCATTTTTAGTCAGAGGAACTGTTCTTATGGCCTGCCTTAGGGTTTCTCCCGAAGGCGTGGTTAATACTATGCCAAGCCCGGACCCTTTTACGATGGAAGCTCCATCTGTAAATAGGGTCCAAACTCCTGATGTCGATTCTGACACCATCACTGCTTCTTTGGTTGCCAAATGTAACAATCCCGGACTGAAAGCAGCCACAAAGTCGGCAAAAACTTGTGACTTAATCGTAGTCCAAGGCTTATATTTCATGTCAAATTCACTCATTTTGACGGCCCATTTGGCCAGCCTACCGAAAGTACGGGTTTATGAAGTATATTCCGCAGGGGAAAGGTGGTCACCATAGCTATCGGGTAACATTGGAAATAAGGCCTTAACTTTCAAGTGGCGACTACGAGGGTTAAGGCCAACTTCTCCAAATGTCGGTAGTGTGTTTCTGCTCCCGTTAAAATTCTGCTAGCGTAATAAATGGGAGATTGTGTGCCTTCGTTCTCACGAACTAAAACAGCGGTTACCTCTACCTCCGAGACTGCTAGGTACATTAATAATTTTTTGCCTTCCTCCGGCTTCAATAATAACGGAGGACTTGACAAGCACCTTTTCAAATCCATCAAAGCCTGCTGACATTCCGGGATCCATTCGAAGTTGTTCTTCGTTTTGAGTAGCGAGAAGAAATAATGGCATTTCTCTGAAGACCGAGAAATGAACCTGCTCAAAGCGGACAATCTCCCTATGAGCCTTTGAACCTCTTTTACACTTGATAGCTGGTCCGATATGTCTTCGATGGATTTGATTTTATCGGGGTTAACCTCAATCTCCAAGAATTTTTCAAAATGTGGATTTTGTTGCGCATGTCTCTTCTGGTACCTGGAAATACCTTGGCACCTGATAAGAGTCTGACACCTCTTCCCTCTGGTTGACTTTGTTTAACTAGGGAGAAGGCGCTGGTTCGTGTAACTACTATGTCGAATGCTCTTTCCCTTTGCTATTGGAGACCGAAATTGCATTAATCTCCCTTGCCGCCGGTTGGTCACCTCTTATTTGTTTAATTCCCTTGGGAGTCAGGGATTTCAGCAACTGGTGATATGTCGACAGCACAACCTCCATCTCATGCAACCATGGTCTTCCCAGGATAATATTGTAGCCCATATCACCAACCACCACCTCGAAAAGGGTCATCTTCATCACCCCATTCGGCATTCATGGGCAACAGGATCTCTCCTCGTGTTGTTACTCTTGCCAGGTTAAACTCGGCGAGGAGTTTTATGGCCGGAATGATGCTTCCGGTGAATTTGGTTTGCTCCAACACTCTCCATTGTATAATATTGGCCGAACTCCCAGGAGACACCAGAACATGTTTAATTTTAAAATCAAATACATTTAGAGAGATTACCAATGCATCATTGTGCGGTAGAAACAATCCATCTATGTCCTCCTCCGTGAAAGTGATGTCGTCTTCAGCGACTCCCCAAAGTCTCTTGGTATGGGTTACTAATATCTTCGTCTTTTTTACTGCTGAGAAAGTAACCCCGTTAATCTTGTTCCCCCCGAAAATCATGTTGATCGTTCGACGCGGGGGATCTTCTCCTATTTTTGAGGGCTCTGCGTTGACACGATTGTGACCATAATTATTTTTAGCCCAGTCACTTAAGAATTTCGTGAGATGGCCATTTTTTAGCAGTGTCGCCACTTCTTCACGCGGATACCGGTAGTTCCCATTATGGTGACCATTCGTCCCGTGATATTCGCACCACGAATTAGGATCCCTCTGGCTGGGATCGAATCTCATTGGCTTCGGGAATCGTACTTCTTTAATATTCCTCATAGCGACACCAACTCTACTACACTAACAATGAAGTTATATTCTAAAAGTCTGGGGTAGGAAGAATCTCGAGAACTAGACGTTTCCTTGTCCAATGACGAGCTCTTGTTCCGGCCGCGATCAGTTCTTCTATCGGTAATGAACCTATCCGTCGATCGAAAACCTCTGTCGCATCCTTCGGCCCGTTCATAGGGAAAAAACTGGCTCCTCGAAGACCGTCGATCCGTGATGAAATGATCTTTTAATTTCTCTTTACTCTTCTTCCGGTCCCGACCCTTAACTAACATCGAGAAACCGAGCCAATCATCCTCAATTTTTATCTTTGACTTGTATCGGTTGAGAACTGTTAGCGGAAACGTAAAAGAAAGAACACAAGATTTAACGTGGTTCGGATCAAAATAA